AAGCAAATCCTCTAAAGTAATTGGTTTTATTGTTAATTTTTAAATAAACACAAAAAAAGGCAAACACAAATGAAGAAAAATTTTCGATTTATATTTTTTCCAATAACATAAAATTTCCTCAATAGCTATCAAAGTTTAAGGCGAAATTAAATGATTTAAAACTAAAACCATATTAAATAATCGAAATAAAAACATTAATTTTTGCCATGTACAAATAAGGATAGCTCAAAGGCCATAAGTCATTCTAAAAAGTTTTTTAAAACAATATTAGCTCTAACTTCCTGGTTCAATAATTCAGGATTGAATTATGGGTCTCAGATGGCTGAATATTTCTTAAAGAGAAATGAAACTCAGAAAGATTCAGGTGCATTAAATTTATGACTTCAGAATATGGAAACTGGACTTAAATAGGGAAAATACGCATGCCATGGGAATATATGTGTCACAGTTGTGAATTAGAAACTGAGATATGATATAAATGTATTTATGAGTATTTTATTCATAAATATGTTCCGAAAAGGGTAATTCTCTTCAATAGAAAATTTTCTAGAGAAGAATTGGATCCATTGAAAATAGCTTCTAAAAGTAGCATATTTTTTAACTGACCGAATTTCAAGTGTTCAGTATTAAAAAATATGTGAATGTTAAAACTTCCGCGTAAGAATTTTAAGATATAGAGTGCTTTATACATTGCTGGTGAAATTTTGTGAGTTACTAAGAGTTATTGTTTCAGTACATGTCGAAAGAAATATTATCGTAGAATAAAGCAATTGATGTCTAGATAATAATTTCACATTCAAAAAAGGTAATCGTATGGGAATAATTAAGGTATTTGAATATTTGTGGCACAAAAATTACTCCAAAGTAGTCTGGCATTATTCTAAAAACATTTTGAATATTTGAAAAAAGTAGTTTTTAAATAGAAGTTTCCTTTTTCTTTGTCCAAAATTTAAGATATAATAAATAGTAATAAACAATAAATATAAATATAAATATCTTTTTTAAGATCTGAGCGTTGAGTTTAAAGAAGTTTAGCAAAAATATTGGAAATAAATTTTTTATCTTATTAAATGTATAAAGAAATTAATTAAAAATCACAATAATATCTGTTATTTGTCAAAGAAATGTATGCTAAATAAAATAGCATAAAATTACCATTTTAGTTACCGTCTGTTTTTTAATATCTATATGTATATATATATATACATCATAAAAATAAATAAATATAATAAATAATAAATATAATATAATATAATAAATATAATATAAATTTAAAAAAATAAATATTTATTTATTCTTGCATAAAGAAATAAATAATGTTTTTGAATAAAATAGCATAAAATTTCCTTTTTATAGTTACCCTCTGTTTTTTTAATTTTATATATATATATATATATAATAAAAAATAAATTAATATAATATAATCATATAATATAATAAATATAATATAAATTAAAAAATAAATAAATATTTATTCTTGTACAAAGAAATAATTTCATTATTTGAAACAAAAAAAAAATTCCTTTTTTTATACTTTTTAAAATATTATGTATAAATGTTTATAATAAAACTTTTAAAAATCATAAAAATAAACACTCAATATTTTTTTGTTCTTTAATTTTTTCTACAGAAAGTTTCTTCTGACAAGTACGGAAAGAAAAAGAAAGTAGGTAATTAATTAATATTAATAATAAATTAAAACTTTTTCGACAATTTTCAAAAGTAATTCTGATTAGTAATTAAAATCAAATAAATTTAAATGTAGACTTTTTTTAACTAAAGAACTCATCATATTTTCAAAAGATGTGCTTTAAAGAAGAAGCTATTTAGCTAATAAGAAATAAGCCAATTTAGTTATTTACTACGAACGTAGAACTACATCACTTTAAGTATGTTTATCACTTTTTAATACGACAGATTGTTAAAATCACACAACCTTGGCGAAAACAAGAAACAATGAAGAATTGGTTCCTTTATCGGATCGAGTGTGATTCGAAAAGTGGGTAGGTTCCACTCAATTAGCTTTGTGGGATTCTATTTAAGGTCCTTCTTCGGAAGTCGAGAACTTCTGTAGGTAGGAAATGGAGCAAAGATTACTTTTATGTTAAAAAAATCTCCTTAATGTTGTTTAAAGAAGACATGAAGGAAGCCTTTTTTTAAAAAATAAGCTTCATTAAAAAGTTATGGTAATCACACAAGGATTTATTATCTGACAATTTGAGGAAAGTTGTACTAAAATGATGGCAACACTGCTTAGATAATGCTAATGCTACATTAATAAAACAATAAAAATCTAATATTTGATTAGAATAATCTGTTTCTTTTTTTTCTCTCTTATGTTAATCTGTGAGTACGCTTGAGGGCTTTTATGCTGGTGATAAAATGTGTTAGATAATCTCTATTGTTCTTGCTTTCTTTGTACAAATATAAAGGTGTTTTAATAGAGTATACGTAATGTATATATATTTATAGATCAATTGAAAAGGTTTTACATATAATTTGTAAATTATCGTTGAAGAAACAATATAAAATAAACTTAATTTTGAATGTTTATTAACAAAATATTGCTGAATAAATCTACTTCTTGGAAAGAAGTAAATTTAAAATAGTAATCAACACAGTAAATTTAAGATAGTAATTAAGGTAGTAAATCACTTAGACATCGAAAAATTTCATACACCTTAAAAATGGTTGATTATTTCTTAAATTGTTATTTATTAGAATCATCAGTCAATTCTGTTTCTTATTCTTAAATTCAGCCTGAATTTTCAATAGTTTATTTATAAATAAATAGTATATTTTATGTAATATACTGACTTTTTTTTAAATAATATTTTAATATAGTTGGATAGGATAAAATGCACTTGAATAATAGGGATAATTCGATATTATAACATAGGAATTTCATAATATTATACTTATATGTTATCCCTATATAAATAATACATTATCCCTATTAATTATATAATTATCAATATTTTGTATTTTGTATTTTTTTTTTAAAATTAGGTATAAATAGGGATATTATATTGGATTTCAAGCAGACTTTCCTCGGTTTGCAAATTTAATTATCTATCGGGCCACTTCTAGCCCGAATGCATAGATATAAACACTATATAGAATTACTATAATGGAAAATATATGTGAACTACTATACCGGTTAATAATTAAAAAATAAAAAATAAAATTTATTTCATGCGTAATATACCATCTGTCAGAATTATTTAAAAAACATAACAATTTATTCTCTTGTTTATTAGAATTTCTCATAATAAAAAAAGTCGTTCAAACGCATTTAAGGTTAATAAAAAATACGCATGGAAATGAATTTTGTTCATATACAAGTGTATTCTCGTACATTCATGTATGTATACTGTATACATGTATGCTTTCCAAAAATAAAGATTTTAAAACTGAAATTAAATTAGAAATATAAAAACTAGCATTAGATACCATGAAATGGGGATTGTATTTTAAAACGAATACACATTTTGAAAAACTGAGACAAAAATGAAACGGGATTGACATTATAAACATAATGAAAAGCAGCCAACGATTTCTTTAAAATCGTAAAGTAAAAGAAAGGAATAATTTTTTACATGAAATACTTTTTTCACACTATAGATTGCATCGCCATGTATTTCAATAGAAAGAAAAGACTATGTATTATGCAATTTCGTTGTGAATTGATCTTAAACATACGGAGCAGTTATCTACAGGGTGTCTCAGCATCAGATTTGCGAATTTTTAGGATGGTTAAGTACACCTAGATGTCTCGGAATCATATAGTAAAAAAGAGTTCATAAATTCTTCCCTGATGCAGTAACGTACACACAAAAAAAACCAGGAATTAAACTACACTATGTAAGTGAATGTGCTGCCTATTAATCAATGTGCATCAACATGGTCAACAGTAAGAAAAGGAAGCAATATATTAGGTCAAAGGGGGCATTCGAATTGTCATTCAAACCTCACATCGCCAACACTCGAAATTCTGAATATTCTGGAAGATTTCAGATACGTCTTGGGCTACTCCAACAACTGCTGTGAGGCGTAAAGTCAGTTCCTCGGCGCTGTTAACAAGAGTGTTATACATCAATGTCAATGAGGGTAAATGATTTTTCTAGGTATGCAGCAGAAGTTATGTGATATAAATATTTCAATAATATTGCCTTGTATTTCTTTTAGTTGCACAGATACCACTAATAATGTCATAATTTATTGAATGTATTGACAAGGTATTACAAGAATTTTTTTACTCCTCTAAGCTAACGTTTTCCTAAATTCTTTTCACTGATTAAGAACTACCGCTTTAAATTATAATTCCAAACCACAAATACAACTAAACCACCGATAAAAAGCGAAGCATTTTTAATGTAAATAAAATGTTGCGTAGAAAATCTGAAAAAAAAAATTTTGATAAAAAAAATGAACAAATAGCTACTAAAAGAAAAATGCGAGCCATCGAAGACAAATGCTTCCTTTAAATTTATCTCATAAAAATGAAGAAATCAGCATAGCAATAATGAAAATTTCCCATAAAGTTATGAATGTCTGATAAGAATTTAATCAGTGAAACAGAATAAAAGGATATTTCCCATTCTTTAAAATTGTAAGAAAAGTAAAAATAATAATGGCAATAATGATAACAATAATAAGGATATTTTTTACATCATGTTTCATTATTTCTGAAATTCTCAAGAAGAGTGGGAGTCATTGCCCATTCAGCAAAATAAACATTGTAAGGAGAAAATGTTGTTGTTGTGACTAATCCTCAGTATCCTGCAGTGCGGGACGGACATCTCATGAATAATCTGCTCATAGATGGAGAGAAAGGGGGATTCTTCTATTGTGATGGAGCACCCGTGGGTAGAAGTTTGACTTGGCTCCGTGACGCTCTTACAGTCATAGGAGACCGAGACCTACGGCTTAAAGTGGATTCCGAACCACTACAAAGATTCATGGCCCTTCCAGGACTCGAACACGAAACATGTGGCACCTTGAGGAAATTTGAAACGGGTACCTCTCGATCTGCAGTCGAATGCACTACCACTGAGCTACACCCCAGAGGAGAAAATGTAAATTTAATAATGCAAAAGGTGAAATATTTAAT